AGGAAAATCAAATACATATTTGGAACGCTAAGAATTGAAAAATTGAATGATCGAAAAATTGAAGATTAAGAAAAATTGAAAATCAAAAATTCGAAAAACTAAAAAACCGACAAAATTGAAAAAAACAGAATTGAAAAAATTTCCCAAATTAAAATGATGAAAACTTGAAAAATCGAAAAATTTTAAAAATTGAAATTTAAAAAATTAAAAAATCGTATATGTAGTTCAAAAATCAAAAAATGTGAACATAAAAAAATCGAAAAATTGAAAAGGCAAATCAAAAATCTAAATATTAAAAAAATTTAAGAATGGAAAAATTGAAATATCAAATATAATGAAGAATTGTAAAACTGAGTTTTCGGAAATTTGAGAAATCGAAAATATAAAAATATTGAGAAATTGAAAAACTGAAGAACGGTAAAAGTGAAAAATCAAAAATTGGAAAATTGGAAAATTGAGAAGTCGAAAAAATGAGAAATCGAAATATTGAAAATCGAGCAAAATCGAATATTTGGAAACGCTAAAAATTGAAAAATCTAAAATTTGAAAAATTGTAAATTAAAATGTAAAAAAATTGAACGATTGAAAAATTGAAAAATATCAGAACTGAAATTTCGAATTTTTGATAAATTGATAAATCAAAAAGTCGAAAAATTGAAAAAATGAAAAATCCCAAAACAGACATCAAAAAATGAGAAATCGAAGAATTAAAACATCGAGAACTTGAAAAGACGAAAAACCGAAAATTTAAAAACTGACAAATTAGAAAAACAATCTGAAAAATCGAAAAATTGACTAATGGAAGAATTGAAAAATCGAATAATGAAAAATTCTAAAATTGAGATATCGGAAAATTGAGAAATCGAAAATATAAAAAAATTGAAAAATTGAAATACTAAAGAATGGTAAAAATGAAAAATCAAAAATTGAAAAATTGGAAAACTGAAAATCGAAAAAACGAGAAATCGGAATATTGAAAATCGAGGAAAATCGAATAACACGCTAAAAATTGAAAAATTTGATAATTGAAAAATTGAAGATTAGAAAAATTTAAAAATCAAAATTGAAATTGAAAATCGAAAATTCGAAAAACTGAAAAATCGAAAAATCAAAATATCGGAAAATTAAACAAAAACAATTGAAATAATTTAGCAAATTAAAATTGTGAAAACTTGAAAAATCGAAAAACCTAAAAGTCAAAAAATTTTAAAAATCGACACATTGAGATGTTTGGCAATGGAAAATTTGAAAAATTGAAATTTTATAAAATTTAAAAATCGGAAAGTCAAAAATCATAAAACGTGAACTTAAAAAAAATCGAAAAATTGAAAAACCGAAAAATCAACGAGAAATCGAGAAATTGAAAAATCTAAAATTTTAAAAATTGAAAATTAATATGTAGAAAAATTGAAGGATTGAAATTGAAAAATATCAGAACTCAAATATCGAATCTTTGATAAATCGATAAATCGAAAAATCGAAAATTTAAAAATTGTAAAATTGGAAAGTCGAAAAAACGAGAAATCGTAAAGTCAGAATGTCGAAAATCGAATACATATTTGGAAACGCTAAAAACTGAAATATTGAACCATCGAAAAATTGAAGATTAGAAAAATGGCAATTCGAAAAATTAAAAAATTAAAAAATTGCAAAACCGAAAAAATGAAGAATGGAAACATTGAAAATAATCGAGAAATCGACAAATGGAAAAGTCGAAAAATCGAGAAAAATTGAAAATTTGAAAACATCGAAAGTCGAAAATTCAAAAAATCGGAAAAACGAGAAATCGTGAAATCGAGAGATCGAAATATCAAAAAGTCGAGAAATCGAGATTTGGGAAAAACGAAAAATCGAGAATTCAGGAAATCTAAAAGTCGAAATGTCGAAAACTCGAGAATTCAAAACGCCGAAAATTCAAAATTTGAAAAAATCCTAAAACAAAAATTAAGAAAAGGTGTACATAGTGGAAAATTTCATTTTTTAAAAGTCGTCAAAAAATTTTCAAAAAAATCAGGGTTATGGGTCGTGGTATGCTGATTCCGAAAATGTAGTGTTCAATGTAAGAAAGAAAAACTTTATTTTTGTTTAATAAAATTAAGGTTTATTTCTTGAAGTTTGTTTTTATCAATGTATGAAGTTGTTATACAATTCCGAACAAATTCCGGTTTCCAGAAGGTTCCGTCTGCCCCGTACTACTAGAATAATCAGCCAATTAAGGTTACCATTTAACCATTTGTTGTCTATTTGTTAAGAACCTGCGGCCTTGTTCTGAAATATTTAAAAGTCATTTCCAGGAAATAAAAAAAAACATTAAAACACGAACACCTTTATCGCAATTTACGATTCTTGGAACAAAAAAAATGTTAATTATTTCACGTGTCGAACAATTATTTTATAGGAAAAGTAATAAACTTGCATAAATATAACAAAATGACCACAATTATTAGTCCTTTTTTCCACACCTATTGATTCTAATAATTACAATTTAGTTTAATTAAAGCAAACGTGGCGTCACAATCCCGAAACTAATTAAACAAGCACAAATTAATTCCCGTCACACACATCACATTTTTTCTCTAAATTTTTTCACCACTTAGTAATAATTAATCCACCACAGGCCACTAACCTTAATAGCATCTACAGTCCATATGCGGCTCGCACCGAACGGACCTTGAACCTCTAACACCGCAGGTTTTGATTATAATAGTGATTTATTAACGCAATTATTAACAGACGACATTACGGCAAAATGCAGGAGCATTCCACAACAAAACGCATCGAAAAAGCTGACTCATGCAGATTTTTTTATTTTAGTACATCGTTGTTTTTTTTTAAAGAAAAAATCGTGTACGCATTATCAAACAGATAAAGCCGGCGCTTACAACCCGATAATAATTATTTACTGCGACGAGCATAAATTACGATAACCTCGTCGAAGTGTTGCAAACTTTCCCAGAATCACACCCTCGTTGACGTTTAGCTCATTGATAACGCTCCATTCCATTTAAAAACCGTGAATGGACCATATGTGCGATAAAGCGGATTACGCAAATTATCGGCCGATTTGAATCCGCGCGCGAGACCGGCGGCACGTGACCGCGTCACGTGACGCCGCTCCGTTCGAAATTCGCGCCCCTCCAATTGTGTAAATGCGTAATTTGTGATTCACGGAAGCATATAATTGCGTTGTGTTGGTTTTGTTCGAAACAACAATAAAACAGTGAATGGAGAGAAAAACGCGGAGGAGGGGATTCATTTAAACATGCCATAATTGCGTACGCCCAATTAACCATCTGCAAATTTCGCCATCTTTGTTGGAGTACCGAGAAGCGACTTTCACCGGCTTCCTCAATCCCGTCAATTAGCTTTTAACGAGAAAGGCAGTAATTCGACGTTGCAGCAAACACGTAATTGTGGCTTTGCAGTGGGAGGGTTTTTGAATGGCGGCGCATTTTTTCAGGAATTGTGTAACGAAATTACGACGTCACTTCCGCGTGAGGAAGTGCCGGGCGGAGGACTTCGTGCTTCGCTAAAAGCGACGTGTTTATTTTGGAGGAGTGCATCAACAAACTAATTTCATTCATTAATTCGGAGAAGCTACTAATTTTAGAGGCGCCGACGGAATTATTAGAAATAGTTCCGACAAAGTGGGCTTGAATGAGGAATTTGAGCCGCGATCACTAGACATGCGGGCACACGGGACCCAATTTTGACTGTGCGAGTCTCGAAAGAGACTGAAAAATGGTCTAGGGTTATTATATTCCCCTATAACCACACCCATTCCCGCTTCCGAGAACGCCGATTATTCACCCCCCTGTATATTTTCGTAGTCCCATCGAGCGGCTTAATTGCCCAACAAACGCGACCATCGCTTTTCCCAAAACTCCAGCTGCACAAAGCCGAAGAGTTCCGCGAAGAGGCGCAGTGTCGTGGCACGGTTGAGGGGGTCAGAGGGAGGCGTTCCTGGAAGGACCATATGTCTGTGTATCGCACATATGCGCCCAAGAATAATACCATCATCTGCCGTGCTCCGGCGGTCAGGAGGCATTCAGCTCCCTCGGATCGGATTAACCTTGGATTCTTGGACGGGATAATAACCCTTGACGCAGAAAAACCATTCTCGGGGATATTAACGGGCGATGAGTTTGCACTATTTTAGGAACGGGCCAAATTGAAAGACGCTGATGATTGATGCTGGGCTGAGATGGCGCTGGGTGGATTTTAATTAAAACGCGGACGGGCGGAGTGGGATCGAGGTGATTGATTTGGCGGAGATTCTTCAGTAATTGAGATTTTTCGCAGGATTTTTTAACTGTTAAAAAGGATCTAGTTACAAGCCGAGGGTTTAAGGTACTAAGCTGAGCTAGAATTCTCAGGTCAAGAAAACTATTTTCCTATTTACCACCACTTTTTGTGGCCTTCTCCTCATTCATTGACTTTGGTTTTGTTTTCTCTGGAAAATTCGCCGTCCATTCAGGTCCAACAAGTGTGTTTCTGGCTCAATTTTCTCTTAGTGCGTCAACCCGCGGATTTGCCTTCATGTATGGTACTTATTTTACGAGAAGATTTAGAAGTGATGATGTTTTGTAGCGGAATATGGCCAAATCCTGTTGGTCGCTACCCACGTGGACATGACCCGCGCTGTGAAGACTCAAAACGGCGAATGGATATGTCCCGACGCCCAAAAAACCCTCGAAACCGTGAAAAAGCTACTCCCCCACGTACCTAATTTGATGTCGAGCGTCGTCATAATGGATACCAATGTACCTGCTTCTTACGCTTTCAAGCAGCTCAAATCGACCATGTCGGAACTGAAACAAGAGTGCCTCCAGGTACTTGTACCTTGCGTCCATCTCTCTGTTTCAGTGTTTCTTCAGTAACTGAGATTTTTCGCAGGATTTTTTAACTGTTAAAAAAGGATCGTACAATTTAGTTACAAGCCGAGTGTTTAAGGTACTAAGCTGATGCGTGTTCGTTTCAATGTCCACAGAGAGATGTAGATGGCACTGTTAGATGCTAGAGTGCTTTCGTTTTCAGAGTAAATCCGTCGTAATGTCAGTTTCTTGTAGCAAACCGTGGGAAGTTGGACGGGGCTTTTGGAAGCTACGTTGTCTTGGTTGGGTCCTCTTCAGCGGGACTACGAACAGTTTCCGGTTTTGTCGCGATCGACTTTCTCCGAGTTGTTACGGAGCCAAGTTAACATCCTCTCTTTGGAGCACCACATTCAGCTGCAGCAGCTGCACCATATGGGAGAGGTATTCTGCATCCAAGATTTAGTTGTGATATCTGTGTCTTGGTTAGGCTTGCAGCTTCTAGGCGAGCTTTTCTCTGTTGATTTCTTCCTGCATGCCAGAGTGACGGGAGTGTATACGACGGACGATTTCCAAGCCAGTTTCAATCAGTGTGACGCTTTAGGGGCCTTAGATTTACTGGAAGCTTTGGATGTTTGCGTTCAGGTGAGACAGTTTCACTCGGAGGTACCACGTTAAAACGAGTGTCTTCAGTGTGACATCGACGGCGAGATCGAATACGAATTTCCGATTTACAACCACACAGAAACGATAGAAGGGTTGTGGGATCCCGAAGACCCGAGGTACTCGACCCAAGGGGCACAGTACGGTGGCATAAGATTATACACCCCACCGGGAACGTACCATTTGTTCAAATCGATTTTCCCGCATATCCAAGTCGAGTTGCGTCGAGCGACTTTAGCGAACTATAGTAACAATGACAGCGATACCGATCTGTATCAGTGGCACTTGGGGTCGAAGTTGTGCAACTCGGAGTTAGAGAGTCTGATCACTCTCGAAGAAGACGAAGTGGCTTTACAATATATCGAAATAAAAATAAGGGGACCAAATCATACGTCGCAATATTGTTTTTATTTTTTGGAACAAATCATGCAAACTGTTAATCAAGCACTGTTGAGGGTTTGTCCAGGGTTGTTGGTGGAGAAGCACATTTTGAGTCCGTTCGAACTCAAGAATCACTCGGGAGCTCCGTTTTGCTACCAACCGGACGTTATCACCGCTGCTATGTTGGAAGCGGAGTCGACTCTTGACATAGCTCTGTACAATCCAAACATCGACGGTCAAGAAACGATTGTCCAGATGATCATGTTCGGTGAGTGTTGGGTGCGACGTGGCGATTAGTCACAGTTTTTTCCTAGATGAGATGGAGTTGGCTGGAAATATCCACTGGGGTTGCGCTTTACGAATCCAAGATCTTTCGTCTTTCGTCAAACTCAAACTCAGCTGTTTACTGGACCCTCCGGAACCTCACGGACGCGATTGGTGTCTTCTAGCCCTCCGATTGGGTCTCTGCCAAGACAAAATAGCAGCTCTGGACTCCCAACATTCCAGCCACACCATGCGTCTACTCACAACCGCCGATTGTTCTATAGGTAATAGTAGTACCTTTTTAGTTTAGACAGTCACTTAACTCTTTTGCAGGTGCTCTTATAACCAGTTTGCATGAGCTAGACCGACTCGATGCAGCAGAAGTCGTCCTCCGTTCCGCACCCATATTTAAAATCATAGAGCATGTCAGTGTTTAGACATTAGACATTTTTTAGAACTATTCTAAAGCTCAAGTCCCGATTCTTTGATTCTTGAATTTTTAAAAAGTCCAATCAAAAAATTTCTATTAGTTAGATGCTTCTACCGTCCTTTTTCTATCCACTAACCCTTTCTTTAGATTAACACACAGCGAAATAGACAAGATTTTAGTTAACTTAATCTGCTATTACAGGGTTTATTTCGGTATTAAGGAGAGATTGTGATATTCATGCTCAGTTGTGGAAAATATTTTATTGTAATGTTTTAAATAAATGTCAAAGTTAGTCTGCTTTTTATTCACACGTTGGTCTCCCTCAAATTCCAGAAACGTTCCTGCCGGTAAAGTACTCCTTCGCCATGTTGTACGCCTTAAACATTCTTCTACTCTTTGCCAGAGTCGAATACCGTGGACCCCAATCAGCTGCCGGTTTGAAAACTGGTAAGTTCTTCCCCGAAACGACCAAGACCAAGTAGACAAAAAAATAGAACACAACAGCCACAAGAATAAACCAAAGAAAAAAAATTTCGAGACTACGCATCCACGGAAATTTAACTTCGACCTTGTGTGTGTAGAAGTTGTACACGTTGTAGATTAGCAGTAACCCTAGAAGGAAAGGGTTAAGAATGTAGAGAGCGTTCGAGTAAGCCGAAAATCGTATTCCGATCATGAAGTGAACATCGTCTCTGAATTTTCGCAACCCGTAGAATCATGCCACTGCCACCAAATTAAAAGTGTTTAGAATAAGGAAAATGAATTGGTTCATGATTTTGTCGATGGTTTTCACCACAAAGTACCCGATTCTAATAATAATTTTTGGCTTTATTTTTTTCTTCCTTAATATACGTAGTATTGTTTGAAGAACACCATACTCAAAACATGTTTTTAATTTCTCCTACAGAAATAAGGATTTTGCAGTTAAATTCTGTCCCCTTGGCTGACGACGAATAAAAAAAATCATCACAATTGAGATAGGGTGGGTGGGCGGTCTACATTTTGCCTTTGTTTCTTAATATGTGTAGACTTATTTCGACAACAAGAAACTTAAAACATGTCTGATTTTGGCTAATGAGATACCATCTAAGAAAAGAGAGGATGGGTGGGGTTAGTATCTGCTAAGGTAAAACTGACTTTGGTAAATGGCATACGCTCTAAGAAAAGAGAAAGTATGTGGGCGGGGCTACTACTTGCTAAGATAAGGCTAATTTTGGCAAATGACATATCCTCTAAGTAGTAGGTACCTGCTAAAATAAAACCAGTTTTATCTTAGCAGGTACTAGCCCCACCCACCCGCCCTCTCTTTTCTTAAAGGGTATCTCATTTGCCAAAATCACTCTAATCTTGGCAGCTACTAGCCCCGCCCACCCACCCTCTCTTGTCTTAGAAGGTTTGTCATCTGCCATAATTAGTTTTATCTTAGCAAGTACTAGCCCCGCCCACCCGCCTTCTCTTCTTTTAGAGGGTATGTCATTTCCCAAAATCAGTCTTATCTTCACAGCTTAGCTGGTAGAATAACGGGGATTTCGTCCCCGTACGTAACGTACTGAAGGGTTAATCCGCCATTTTCCAGACATCCGGTATATAGGTACCATATGATCGAAAAAAAAACTTGTCAAGTGTGCTCTGATACAGAGTTTAATACGAAAATGACAGGAACAGCAAATGCAAATTTTGTCGATCATATGGTATGTATGATTATGAAGCTTGGAATGAAAAATTTCAGAATGAATCTAATTCTCTAGTTTTAAAAGAATTAAAAATCAAAACGTCATTATTCAAATAAAAAAAAAGTCAAATCGAAATTCAAAAAATAAACTGAGTTTGATAAGCCGAATTTTTATTGAGACGATTAAAACCAAAAAAGTTGAAAACTATATGGTGTTAGACTGAAAAATTACCCATTGATAACAAATGATTGTAACTTTTATGTCAGGTTGGCAACATTTCTAAAATTTTATGCTGGCCTAGCGAGTCAGTAGTTACCATCTTCTCATTGTTCTCTTTGTGGTTACAATTATTAGTTCAAAATGTCTTACATTGTAATTTCTTGAAGAGTAATAATAAGAATTTTGCACTTAAATTTCGCTCATTTGGCTCTCGACGATAAAAAAAATCATCACAATTGAGACAGGGCGGGTGGGTGGGGCCTAAATTTTGTATTTTTTTTAATATTATACGTAGTCGTGTTTTCAGAACAAGAAACTTAAAACGAACGAAAAAGTCGTCACAATTGAGAATTGAGATAGAAGCGGGTATGGGTGGGGCCTAATTTTTGACTTTATTTTTATCTTAGTATACATAGTATTGTTTGAACACGATACTCAAAAACATGTTTTTAATTTCTCGTACAAAAAAGGATGTTGCAGTTAAATTCCGCCCCCTTGGCTCACGACGAATAAAAAATAATCATCACAATTGAGATAGGGTGGGTGGGCGGGGCTACATTTTGCTTTTGTTTCTTAATATGTGTGGACTTATTTCGACAACAAGAAACTTAAAACATACCTAAAATGGTAAATTTTTGTAGTAATCAACTTAAATCCTCCACTTTTCTTCTACAACCCCTTTAAATACGGCAAAAGTTGACCATGAAAGTTACTATCAACGCCTACTTAGCAACGGAGTTATAAATCACAATTTTCAGCTCTAAAAGCAACGTCAGCGGGAACTTCAATGTCAACAGTACGTTTATAAATCCCACTGTTAACGTCATCAAAAAAAGATGTTCATGAAATAGTTTCAAATCTGACAAAAATCTACGAATCTACTGAATCTACTGAAGCGCCAAGATTTCCAGATTCATGACAACGAATGAAAAATTCATTACGATTAACATCGAGACGGATGGGTGGAGCTTCTCTTTTGGTTTTCTTTTTTAATGAATACATTTAGTTTTCTTTGTTATAATACGGTTACTTAAGAACACATTTGATATAGCAATTTGTCGTAAAAAAATAAAAATAAGTTCCGTCCCTCGGCTTACGATGAATAAAAAAATAGTCAGAATTGAGATATTTTTTTTTTCTTAATATACATAGCTATCTTTTCAAAACAAGCCTATTTGCAAAATCGATATTTGTTGTGAAGAGAAGTCTACACATATTAAAACAACAAGGCAAAATCTAAGCCCGCCCACCCACCCGATCTCTAATGTGATGATTTTTTTTATTCGCCCTGAATCAAGAAGACGAAGCTTAACTGCAAAATACTCATTTCTTTACAAGAAATTAAAAACATGTTTTTGAGTATTGTGTTGTTCAAAAAATACTACGTATATTAAGACAAAAAAGGCAAAATATAAACCCCGCTCACCCACCCCATCTTAATTGTAGTGATTTTTTTCCTAGAAACTTACATCACGTTTAGAATGGTAAATTTTGCAAGGAAATACGGATTTTGCAATTAAGCTCCGCCTTTTTGGCTCCCGACGAATTGAAAAAAAATCATCACAATTGAGATAGGGCGGGTGGGCGGGGCTACATATTGCGTTTTGTTTTTCTTAATATGTGTAGACTTATTTCGGCAACAAAAAACTTAAAACATGTCTAAAATGGTCCACTTTCCTTCTACAACCTTTTTAAATATGACAAAAATTCAACATCAACGTTATGATCAACGATGACTGCAACTGGAACTGGAACTCTCCCTCAAATTCCGGAAATATTCTTGTCTGTGAAGATACTCCTTCTCCACGTTGTATGCCTTAAATATTCTTCAATTCTTAGCGAAAGTAGACCCCTTGAAGCATCCCACTGCGACCAAATTAAAAGTGTTTAGAACAATGAAAATGAGCTCGTTCATGATTTTGTCGAAGTACCCGATTTTAGCGGAGAAAAAATTCCTCCGCTGTAGAACAGTAAACAGAAAAGGAAAACGCAAATGTTGTCATGTTTTTTTAGCTACCATTTACGTATCCCATGTCTCGCCTGTCGTTAATTATTCGAATTTACAAGTCACCTAAAAAAAGTTAATATTAAGAGAGATCTCTGCGGAATTACCAAAACACGTAAGCGTGCGTATAACAATGTGTAAGTTAAATAAAACAGTGTATTTAAGTCGTGACGTATTACAACAGGATATAGCTTTGACATTCATAGTTTTTGTTTTTTCACTTAATTGGGTTTGTTTATACATTGTTTAGACACATTTTGATAAAATTTTTGTGGACGAGACGAATTATGTGGAACGTCACAATGACAATAACTACACAGTTGATGCACATTGGATGTTGCAATGCAATTTCCTGGAAACAAATTTCAAATGGTCGTGCTATTATTCGGCCCAGTAACTTTCCCACGTACATATACATTCATACGTTGAAATATAAGTGAAAACACTCATCCCACTTTGCTAGAAATGCAAATACCTATTATTTTTAGCATTTAGAAAATCGCGTATTTATCGTTTCCTAACGAAACCACAGAATTTGGCCAAAACCCAGCTTGGTGCAAAACACTTCCTCGAAACGTTCCGCACCACCAGATGGCACAATCACCCGTTTATTTATCCTATCAGTTTCAACTGCAGTGACGCAGCGCCTCCTCGAAAACCTTCTCACAACAATCAACAAACAAAGAAATTAAAATTCTTTTATCTCGCGACGACTCCAACCGTCTCAATTTCCTTTTTAAAATAAAGCGTCGAGACTTCCTCTCGGCTCGAACGGCGCTTTTCCGAGAAGCCTTCCGCGCATTTTACATGCGAATCGTGAAATATTTCAGGTCAACTACTTCTAAACATTTACCTACCGTGTGTTTGTTTAACCTCGCGTTCCGAGCGTTGTTCACGCGAATCCCACATCACGTGTGCGTAGAGCTTTACTTGAAAGTGTTCCCGCTTAATTGATTCCTGGGAATAATGCGCCTTGCTGGAGGCAGTTGCGTAAACAAACGCTCGTTTATGCATTGCTTTTTTCATGGGATTCGAGGAGCCCGGAGTCACACTCCGACGACTACCCGGAAAAGGAAGGTTCCGGTGTGCTGGCTGGGTCTGGGAAATGGGAAAGGCACCTGTTGGTGGAATGCGAGATTGCGTTTCGTAGAAAAGAGGAAAAGAAATGCGGTTTTAGATCGAAGTGCAATCGAGGTTGAATTGTGCCGATGCGCTCGACTTGGCTTTCAAACGACGATTCTGCTCGCAAGGGTTCGAACCATGTTTGCTCCGAGATGCGTACTCGAATAATTCAAGAGGTTTAAAATGCTGATTTTTAACCAGTGATGTCCTTTGGGAAACGCTACTACATAAAGAAACTAAAGTGGGACTTATACACTTGCTGTTGACGTTGAAATTCCAGTTGCAGTCATTGTTGATCATAACGTTGATGTTCAATTTTTGTCATATTTGAAAGGGTTGTAGAAGGAAAGTGGACCATTTTAGACATGTTTTAAGTTTCTTGTTGCCGAAATAAGTCTACACAAATTAAGAACAAAAAGGCAAAATGTATCCGTATTTCATTACAAAATTTACCATTCTAAACGTGATGTAAGTTTCTAGGAAAAAAAATCACCACAATTAAGATACATAGTATTCCTTGAACAACACGGTACTTAAAAACATGTTTTTAATTTCATGTTGAGAAATAAAGGATTTTGCAGTTAAGCTTCGCCCTCTTGATTCACGGTGAATAAAAAAATCATCATAATTGAGACAGGGTGGGTGGGTGGGGCAACATTTTGCCTTTTTGTTTTAATATGTGTAGATTTCTTTTCACAACAAATATCGATTTTGCAAATAGGCTTGTTTTGAAAAGATAGCTATATATATTAAGAAAAAAAAAACCGCCCACCCGCCCTATCTCAATTCTGACTATTTTTTTATTCATCGTAAGCCGAGGGACCATAGAAATAATATTATCCTTTATTAGATCAATGCGAGGGACGGAACTTATTTTTATTTTTCTACGACAAATTACTATATCAAATGTGTTCTTAAGTAACCGTATTATAACAAAGAAAACTAAATCTATTCATTAAAAAAGAAAATCAAAAGAGAAGCTCCACCCATCCGTCTCGATGTTAATCGTAATGAATTTTTCATTCGTTGTCATGAATCTGGAAATCTTGGCGCTTCAGTCGTAAAATTTCCAAAATTTTTCTTCTGCAGAAAATTCATCGTAGATTTTTGTCAGATTTGAAACTATTTCATGAACATCTTTTTTGATGACGTTAACAGTGGGATTTATAAACGTACTGTTGACATTGAAGTTCCCGCTGACGTTGCTTTTAGAGCTGAAAATTGTGATTTATAACTCCGTTGCTAAGTAGGCGTTGATAGTAACTTTCATGGTCAACTTTTGCCGTATTTAAAGGGGTTGTAGAAGAAAATTGGAGGATTTAAGTTGATTACTGCAAAAATTTTCCATTTTATACATGTTTTAAGTTTCTTGTTGTCGAAATAAGTCCACACATATTAAGAAACAAAAGCAAAATGTAGCCCCGCCCACCCACCCTATCTCAATTATGATGATTATTTTTTATTCGTCGTGAGCCAAGGGGGCGGAATTTAACTGCAACATCCTTTTTTGTACCAGAAATTAAAAACATGTTTTTGAGTATCGTGTTGTTCAAACAATACTATGTATACTAAGAAAAAAATAAAGTCAAAAATTAGGCCCCACCCATACCCGCTCCTATCTCAATTCTCAATTGTGACGAATTTTTCGTTCGTTTTAAGTTTCTTGTTCTGAAAACACGACTACGTATAATATTAAAAAAAAATACAAAATTTAGGCCCCACCCACCCGCCCTGTCTCAATTGTTATGATTTTTTTTATCGTCGAGAGGCAAATGAGCGAAATTTAAGTGCAAAATTCTTATTATTACTTTTCAAGAAATTACAATGTAAGACATTTTGAACTAATAATTGTAACCACAAAGAGAACAATGAGAAGATGGTAACTACTGACTCGCTAGGCCAGCATAAAATTTTAGAAATGTTGCCAACCTGACATAAAAGTTACAATCATTTGTTATCAATGGGTAATTTTTCAGTCTAAAACCATATAGTTTTCAATTTTTTTGGTTTTAATCGTCTCAATAAAAATTCGGCTTGTCAAAATCAGTTTATTTTTTGAATTTCGATTTGACTTTTTTTTTAATTTGAATAATGACGTTTTGATTTTTAATTCTTTTAAAACTAGAGAATTAGATTAATTCTGAAATTTTCCGTTTCAAACTTCATAATCATAACATACCATATGTTCGACAAAATTTGCATTTGCTGTTTCTGTCATTTTCGTATTAAACTCTGTATCAGAGCACACTTGACAAGTTTTTTTTTCGATCATATGGTACCTATATACCGGATGTCTGGAAAATGGCGGATTAACCCTTCAGTACGTTACGTACGGGGCCGAAATCCCCGTTATTCTACCAGCTAAGCTGTGAAGATAAAACTAATTATGATAGATGACAAACCTTCTAAGAAAAGAGAGGGTGGGTGGGCGGGGCCAGTAGCTGCCAAGATTAGAGTGATTTTGGCAAATGAGATACCCTTTAAAAAAAGAGAGGGCGGGTGGGTGGGGCTAGTACCTGCTAAGATAAAACTGATTTTAAAACACAAATTAAAAACATGTTTTTGAGTATGGTGTTCTTCAAACAATACTATGTATACTAAGAAAAAATAAAGCCAAAAATTATTATTAGAATCGGGTGCTTTGTGGTCAAAACCATCGACAAAATCATGAACGAGTTCATTTTCATTATTCTAAACACTTTTAATTTGGTCGCAGTGGCATGATTCTACGGGTTACGAAAATTCAGAGACGATGTTCACTTCATGATCGGAATACGATTTTCGGCTTACACGAACGCTCTCTACATTCTTAACCCTTTGCTTCTAGGGTCACTACTAATCTACAACGTGTACAACTTCTACACACACAAGGTCGAAGTTAAATTTCCGTGGATGCGTAGTCTCGAAATTTTTTTTCTTTGGTTTATTCTTGTGGCTGTTGTGTTTTATTTTTTTGTCTACTTGGTCTTGGTCGTTTTGGGGAAGAACTTGCCAGTTTTCAAACCGGCAGCTGATTGGGGTCCACGATATTCGACTCTCGCCAAGAGTAGAAGAATGTTTAAGGCGTACAACATGGCGAAGGAGTATCTCTACCGGCAGGAACGGTTCCGGCATTTGAGGGAGACCAACGTGTGAAAAAAAAGCGGACTAACTTTGACATTTATTTAAAATATTACAATAAAATATTTTCCACAACTGAGCATGAATATCACAATCTCTCCTTAATACTGAAATGAACCCTGTAATAGCAGATTAAGTTAACTAAAATCTTGTCTATTTCGTTGTGTGTTAATCTAAAGAAAGGGTTAGTGGATAGAAAAAGGACGGTAGAAGCATCTAACTAATAGAAATTTTTTGATTGGACTTTTTAAAAATTCAAGTATCAAAGAACCGGGACTTGAGCTTTAGAATAGTTCTAAAAAATGTCTAATGTCTAAACACTGACATGCTCTATGATTTTAAATATGGGTGCGGAACGGAGGACGACTTCTGCTGCATCGAGTCGGTCTAGCTCATGCAAACTGGTTATAAGAGCACCTGCGAAAGAGTTAAGTGACTGTCTAAACTAAAAAGGTACTACTATTACCTATAGAACAATCGGCGGTTGTGAGTAGTCGCATGGTGTGGCTGGAATGTTGGGAGTCCAGAGCTGCTATTTTGTCTTGGCAGAGACCCAATCGGAGGGCTAGAAGACACCAATCGCGTCCGTGAGGTTCCGGAGGGTCCAGTAACCCGCAGAGTTTGAGTTTGACGGGAAACGAAAGATCTTGGATTCGTAAACCGCAACCCTAGTGGATATTTACAGCCAACTCCATCTCATCTAGGAAAAAACTCTGACTAATCGCCACATCGCACCCAACACTCACCGAACATGATCATCTAGACGATCGTTTCTTGACCGTCGATGTATGGGTTGTACAGAGCTATGTCAAGAGTCGACGGATTCAAAATGTGCTTCTCCACCAACAACCCTGGACAAACCGTCAACAGTGCTTGATTAACAGTTTTATCAGTTTCAGTTTTGAGAAGCTTCTTTTGCATGAAAACACTGAAACAAACGGTTAAAAAAAATCTTAACACTAAACTCGGAACAGACCCAGAATAGCCCCATTTTACGATCAATCTGGAAATCTTCCAAAAGGCGCCTCAGTTGTAAAATTTCCAAAATTTGATAGATTTTTGACAGATTTGAAACTATTTCATGAACATCTTTTTTTGATGACGTTAGCAGTGGGATTTATAAACGTACCTACTGTTGACGTTGAAGTTCCCGCTGACGTTGCTTTTAGAGCTGAAAATTGTGATTAATAAACTCCGTTGCCAAGTCAGGCGCGGATCCAGGGGGGGGGCAATGGGTGCAATTGGCCCCCCCCCTGACACACGACCGAGGTACTTTATTTTGATCAATTTAAAAATTTTGAAATCGCATTTCATTTTGTAAATACAGTACAACCTCTATAATCCGAATTCACGATTATCCGAACATCCAGTAATCCGAACAGAGGCTATTTGAAGTCGATGCTTCTTTAATCCGAACAAAAACTCTGCAATCCGAATTGAACTTGGAAACACGCACTTACTTGCAAAAATGACGCAAGATCTTACTGCATATGTTGTATGGAATATTTTGAAATTTTTGAAAATTGCGATATTTCAATGCACTGAATTAATTAACTAATTCTGGATAAAAGGTTGAAGTTATCGAAGAAATGAGGCCCGAAATGTACATGAAAAAGTATTTGGTTAAATTTCGAAAATCGGTCGAAATTTGCATGAGGGAAATTTTATTTTTGAAAAAGTTTCCTAAAAATTCAGAGATATATGTATATCCCGACGTGCTATGTTAATGGCAACCGAGCAATATTTTCGGAAAATTCGGTGTGAAATTCGGATTTTTCGAAATTTTTAAAATTTGCGATATTTCAGCTAGACGAATCTATAAAAACGGTTTAAGTTATCGAAGAAATGAAGCTAGAAGTGACTTCTGAGGCCAAAAATCTACAAGAAAATGTATTCAGTTAAATTCCGAAAATCGTCGAGAATGGGTCGAAATTTGCAAAATGGTGGTAATACATAATGGAAAATTTCATTTTTGAAAAATTCATCTAAAAATTCTGAAAAAATTTAGGGTATAGATTCCGGCGTGTTGATTCCAAAAAGGATTCTTTAATTTTGTTTAATAAAATTATGGTTTATTTCTTGAAATTTGTTTTCAACTGTGTATGAAGTTGTTATTCAATTCCCTTTCAGATTTTTGGGAAAATCGCTGATCCGAACAAACCGTTAATGCGAACACACCTTTTTCCCAATTAATTCGGATTATCGAGGTTCTACTGTACACTATACGTGTAACGAAAACAACCAAATGTCACCCATGTTATATGAAAAAGAATATACTAGCTAAAATTTTATAATTTTTTTTGTTTAGAACCAATTTCTGGGAGATAGGTAAAATCGCACAAAAATTGCCCCCCCCTAAACGAAATCCTGTATCGGCGCCTGTGCCAAGTAGGCGTTGATAGTAACTTTCATGTTCAACTTTTGCCGTATTCAAAGGGGTTGTAGAAGAAAATTGGAGGATTTAAGTTGATTACTGCAAAAATTTTCCATTTTATACATGTTTTAAATTTCTTGTTGTCGAAATAAGTCTACACATATTAAGAAACAAAGGCAAAATGTAGCCCCGCCCACCCACCCTATCTCAATTGTGATGATTTTTTTTATTCATCGTGAGCCAAGGGAGCGGAATTTAACTGCAACATCCTTTTTTGTACGAGAAATTAAAAACATGTTTTTGAGTACCGTGTTCTTCAAACAATACTATGTATACTAAGAAAAAAATAAAGTCAAAAATTAGGCCCCACCCATACCCGCTCCTATCTCAATTCTCAATTGTCACGAATTTTTCGTTCGTTTTAAGTTTCTTGTTCTGAAAACACGACTACGTATAATATTAAAAAAAATACAAAATTTAGGCCCCACCCACCCGCCCTGTCTCAATTGTGACGATTTTTTTTATCGTCGAGAGCCAAATGAGCGAAATTTAAGTGCAAAATTCTTATTATTACTTTTCAAGAAATTACAATGTAAGACATTTTGAACTAATAATTGTAACCACAAAGAGAACAATGAGAAGATGGTAACTACTGACTCGCTAGGCCAGCATAAAATTTTAGAAATGTTGCCAACCTGACATAAAAGTTACAATCATTTGTTATCAATGGGTAATTTTTCAGTCTAACACCATATAGTTTTCAACTTTTTTGGTTTTAATCGTCTCAATAAAAATTCGGCTTGTCAAAATCAGTTTATTTTTTGAATTTCGATTTGACTTTTTTTTAATTTGAATAATGACGTTTTAATTTTTAATTCTTTTAAAACTAGAGAATTAGATTAATTCTGAAATTTTCCGTTTCAAGCTTCATAATCGTAACATACCATACGATCGACAAAATTTGTCAAATGTGCTCTGGATTTTTTATATTATGTTGCTAGCATTTGCTGTTTTTGTCATTTTCGTATTAAACTCTGCATCAGAGCACACTTGACAAGTTTTTTTTCGATCATATGGTACCCATATACCGGATGTCTGGAAAATGGCGGATTAACCCTTCAATACGGTACGTACGGGGCCGAAATCCCCGTTATTCTACCAGCTAAGCTGTGAAGATAAGACTGATTTTGGGAAATGACATAACCTTTAAGAGAAGAAAAGGCGGGTGGGCGGGGTTAGTACCTGCTAAGATAAACCAATTTTGGTAGATGACAAACCTTCTAAGAAAAGAGAGGGTGGGTGGGCGGGGCTAGTAGCTGCCAAGATTAGAGTGATTTTGGCAAATGAGATACCCTTTAAGAAAAGAGAGGGCGGGTGGGTGGGGCCAGTACCTGCTAAGATAAAACTGATTTTATTTTAGCAGGTACCTAGTACTTAGAGGGTATGCCATTTACCAAAGTCAGTTTTACCTTAGCAGCTACTAACCCCACCCATCCTCTCTTTTCTTAGATGGTATCTCATTGGCCAAAATCAGACATGTTTTAAGTTTCTTGTTGTCGAAATAAGTATTCACACATTAAGAAATAAAGGCAAAATGTAGCCCCGCCCACCCACCCTATCTCAATTGTGATGATTTTTTTTTTATTCGTTGTCAGCCAAGGGGGCGGAATTTAACTGCAAAATCCTTATTTCTGTACGAGAAATTAAAAACCACCATTTTCAATATGTTTTAAGTTTCGAAGAAAAAAAATCATTACAATTGAGAAGGGGTGGGTGGGCGGGGTATATATTTTGACTTTTTTTCTTAATTTACATTTAAGAAAAAAAAGGCTCGATATAAGCCTTATTTTTCTACGAGAAATTACCATGTGAAATATGTTCTTAAGTAATCGTGAAGCCTGACTCATCCGCCTCGATGTCAATCGTGATGAATTTTTCATTCGTTGTCAGACCGAGGGGCGGAGCGTAATTGCAAAATCGATATTTCCCTATACAAATTTACAATTTTAAACATGTTTTAAGTTTATTGTTGTGAAAACATGACTATGTATATTAAGAAAAAAAAAACAAAATATAAGCCCCGCCCACCCACCCTGTCTCAATTGTGATTTTTTTTATATTCGTCGTGAGCGAAGGGGACGAAGCCTAATTGCAAAATCTATATTTCCTTACAAAAATTTACCATTTTCAATGTGTTTTAAGTTTCTAATAAAAAATATCGTTACAATTGAGATGGGGTGGGTGGGCGGGGTTTATATTTTGAGTTTTTCTCTTAATTTACATTGTATTCTATGAACCACACGATACTTAAAAACATGTTTTTAATTTATTGTAAAGAAATAAGTATTTTGCAGTTAAGCTCCGCCCTATTGGTTCACGGCGAATAAAAACAATCATCACAATTGCGATAGGGTGGGTGGGCGGGCTGAGATTTTGCCTTTTTGTTTTAACATGTGCAGATTTCTTTTCACAACATGAAACTTAAAACATGTTCAAAATGGAACTAAATTGTACGATCCTTTTTTAACAGTTAAAAGATCCTGCGAAAAATCTCAGTTACTGGAGAAACACTGAAATTGAGAGGGTTTTTTTGGGTGTCCACGTGCGTAGCAACCAACTGGATTTCACCATATTCCACTACAAAAGATCATACTTCCGATCCTTCCCCAAAACTAGTTAGTATTTACCATCTAGAGAAAGCACCACGTGAAAAGTTCTTTTGGATTTGGAGTGACATTCTATGGAGTTTACGAATTGACACGTGGGACATTCTTTTTCCACTCCATCCAAACAACATTAATCAGTACAGAATAAAAAATGTATACCACAATACATGTCTGCAAACATCATTTCCAATAAATCATTCAGACGTAGGTAAATACGATATCCCTCTGCCAATTTGCCGTATGATTGATTCATTATTGCCACCATTTATCTTCTGGTAATTGAAAGCAACCGTTTCAGCTGAAGTAGAGCGGAGAAAATTTAATTAATACAGCCTGCATGAAATGACAGTTGTGAAAATGTTATTTCTCTCTACGACGAATTCAGTAATGGACGGTCTGCACATTTTAGAGAGTTCCTTGTTTCTTCGACAATTACATCATTAACCTGCATTTAGTAGCTTCGAACCGAGGTCGGTTTCGTGGAAACCGCTGCATTCGTTAATTACGTTCCACGATCAAAATACAACTATTAATTTCGTTTATCTTGGTGGCATTCAGTGTTTCGACGTAAAAAACGCCATTTGAATAGGAAGTTTAACACGCTCCATTAACTTCGTTCCACGAGGTAAAAGTTCGCAGTGTCGACGAAAGCGTTTCGCGGAATAATCTCTGTCGAAATTAATAAGAATCAATATAAATAATTCGCGTTTTTTGCGCACGACTAGAAAAAGTGTCGGCGAAATTGAATAAAAAAATCGTCCGATAACGGTCTCCTCTCCAAGTTCCTCAACCTCCGTTCCCGGTATGTTTACTAAGTTTACTTACCGCCCGAGGTCTTTTCCGCTTACCGTCAAAAACAAAGCACCGATGGACATTAAATCCCGCGTCGTTTGCATTCAGATTATCTCAAAGTGGATTTCGTAACATAAAATTGAATGCCGTTCCTGGAAGCGCTTTTAATTCCGTTTGGCATTTGAGATCTTCCAAGAAAACAAATTACATGTTATTTCATACCGTACGTATTTTATGTATGCACAGCCTCAACAGCGTCATTTCTTATTTTAATGCGTTTTAAATAGCCGGAGTCTCCTTTAAAGAGGCCATCGCGTCTCCGGAGGTCATTACGGTCCTGGATCACGTGGCGCTTTATAGGCAATATGCGAAAAAATCGTTGCCACCCGTGGCGTCGATACCGAGATTCTCGGAACCATTTCGAACTGATTAATTTCGATATTGTTTGAGAATTCATACAATCGTTACTTGCGAAAATATTCTAAATGAGCGATGATTAAATCGATCCGTTTTGAATTTTGTAATGGAAAAGGAGTGATCTTGACGGTTCTCGGAACGGGTATCAATTGTGCAAATTAATCATAACAACTTGCCAAAGGAGGATATTGTGTTCGGATGATGCGAGGTTGAATATAGCGCGATTACAAAACGATTAGAGTAGGTCATGTTGGTGATATGGCTGGAAACAACCCTGGACGCGACACCTGGTAGTCGCCAACCTAAACTACCGCAGGTTTCTTTGATCTATTTATGTTTTATTTCTTTATATCTTATGTCTTTTTGTTTGTATTTTCTTTGTTCAATACTTATTTTTTGTAAGTATGACAGTTATGTTACAGGAGAACTTAATGTTATGTAACATTGTCACAAATTTGTTGTTACTATGATGTAACTACATACAAAGTGCCAAATTAACTTTTAATGGTGGTCAAGACTGGTTCTTCTCCCCTAGTTAAATTATTACCCAGGGTGCCATCTAGATTCTCCTGTTCTAATTTTGGAAAGTTCGCTTCTCCGGGAAAGCCTCTGGAAAATGATGTTTTTCCGCGCCGCCCACAAGCCCCAATTTCCGCGTCCCTCATTATCGTAAAGCGAAATTTTTATGTTATCTATCAAATAAAAGCCCCATCAAGCTATAACGTCGGCGTTTTCCTCTGTTTTCCACCCCCGCGAAATATCGATCAGTCATCAGCTGATGTTTTCCGCAGAGATAACACCGTCGTATCTTAATTTAAGTTTCCATGGAAAATGTGATAAAAACACTGTTTAATTTAGAATGAAGAGTGGGACAAAGGCCAGTCGACTGTTCCAGTCGGGCCAGGGCTTGCCACAGACCGCTTCGAAAGGTAACACCACGTCATTGTTTTATTTACAAACTAACAGTCTGTTGAAGCTTTCTAATTTTACGTTTTAAAATGAACACACCATTAAGCAGAGGCTGCTCGTATAGTCCTCGGGAGTCGTTCGAGTACACGGCTTTGCAGTTTGCAGCTCGTCGGGGCTCTTTGGAACAAGTCCGGTCGGTATACTTGGCGTCAGTTTGGGTAGACCTTGACTGGGTTTTTCCGGTAGGTATTTGATCGAAAGCGGGACCGATTTAGATACGGGACCGGATCCGGCTCTGCATTTGGCCCTGCGTAAGCAAAATACAGCAATAGTTCATCTACTTCTCCATGCTGGTGCTGACTTTGAAATAAAAGATTCGGTGAGAAATCGGGTGGTTACGAATTTTCGTTCAATGTTTTGTTCCAGCATGGAGATTATCCTATTCACATAGCTTGTAGTCTGGGGCTTCTGGATGTGGTGCACGCTTTATGCGCCTTAGGTTGCAGCGTTGAAGTCTTGACGGTTAAAGGCTTGTCGCCGCTTCATCTAGCTGCGAAAAATGGCCACATTCACGTCGTCCGGTAAACCCCATAGAGTGTTGATGCAAATCTAGAAGGTTTTTTCTAGATGCTTGTGTGCAGCGGGTTGCAATATCGACATCCGCAACTCAGATAACATTCGTGCTGACATCACTGCTTTGAAATATGGTCATAATAACATAGCGGAGTTGTTGGATAGGTTGAGGGTCACCGGACAAAGAGACACTTTAGCGCGTCAGCTAGTTCCAACTTCGAAACCAGCGCTGAGGTTGTCTTTGCGGCTTTTGGGAAACTGCGGCGTGGGGAAGACTTCTCTCGTCAAGTCGTTATGTGCAGGCTTGTTTAGTTCGCTGTTTCGAAGATCGAGTTCTTTGCAGAGCAACAAATGTAAGTTTGGATTGGTTTGGATGGAATGATGTTAATTGTGGTTTTGTAGCACGACCATCGTCACCCATCAACAGCCAAATCGAGATGGATGTGACGTCCAGACAAAACTCCTTGAGTTTCGAAAGCAGTGGTAACTACCAGTCGACCAATGGAATTAACGTACAAAACGTGAGTCACTTTAGTTGAAATTTTGAATGAGATTGAGTTGGTCGTTGTAGTTGGACATATCAAGCGTCGGCGAAGCGACAGTTTGGGAATTCTCAGGTCAAGAAAACTATTTTCCAATTTACCACCACTTTTTGTGGCCTTCTCCTCATTCATTGACTTTGGTTTTGTTTTCTCTGGAAGATTCGCCGTCCATTCAGGTCCAACAAGTGTGTTTCTGGCTCAATTTTCTCTTAGTGCGTCAACCCGCGGATTTGCCTTCATGTATGGTACTTATTTTACGACAAGATTTAGAAGTGATGATGTTTTGTAGCGGAATATGGCCAAATCCTGTTGGTCGCTACCCACGTGGACATGACGCGCGCTGTGAAGACTCAAAACGGCGAATGGATTTGTCCCGACGCCCAAAAAACCCTCGAAACCGTGAAAAAGCTACTCCCCCACGTACCTAATTTGATGTCGAGCGTCGTCATAATGGATACCAATGTACCTGCTTCTTACGCTTTCAAGCAGCTCAAATCGACCATGTCGGAACTGAAACAAGAGTGCCTCCAGGTACTTGTACCTTGCGTCCATCTCTCTGTTTCAGTGTTTCTTCAGTAACTGAGATTTTTCGCAGGATTTTTTAACTGTTAAAAAAGGATCGTACAATTTAGTTACAAGCCGAGTGTTTAAGGTACTAAGCTGATGCGTGTTCGTTTCAATGTCCACAGAGAGATGTAGATGGCACTGTTAGATGCTAGAGTGCTTTCGTTTTCAGAGTAAATCCGTCGTAATGTCAGTTTCTTGTAGCAAACCGTGGGAAGTTGGACGGGGCTTTTGGAAGCTACGTTGTCTTGGTTGGGTCCTCTTCAGCGGGACTACGAACAGTTTCCGGTTTTGTCGCGATCGACTTTCTCCGAGTTGTTACGGAGCCAAGTTAACATCCTCGCTTCGGATCACCACATCCAGGAGCTGCTGCAGCAGCTGCACTACATGGGAGAGGTGTTCTGCATTCAGGATTTAGTTGTGATATCTGTGTCTTGGTTAGGCTTGCAGCTTCTAGGCGAGCTTTTCTCTGTTGATTTCTTCCTGCATGCCAGAGTGACGGGAGTGTATACGACGGACGATTTCCAAGCCAGTTTCAATCAGTGTGACGCTTTAGGGGCCTTAGATTTACTGGAAGCTTTGGATGTTTGCGTTCAGGTGAGATAGTTTCACTCGGAGGTACCACGTTAACACGAGTGTCTTCAGTGTGACATCGACGGCGAGATCGAATACGAATTTCCGATTTACAACCACACAGAAACGATAGAAGGGTTGTGGGATCCCGAAGACCCGAGGTACTCGACCCAGGGGGCGCAGTACGGTGGTATAAGATTATACACCCCACCGGGAACGTACCATTTGTTCAAATCGATTTTCCCGCATATCCAAGTCGAGTTGCGTCGAGCGACTTTAGCCAACTATAGCAACAATGACAGCGATACCGATCTGTATCAGTGGCACTTGGGGTCGAAGTTGTGCAACTCGGAGTTAGAGAGTCTGATCACTCTCGAAGAAGACGAAGTGGCTTTACAATATATCGAAATAAAAATAAGGGGACCAAATCATACGTCGCAATATTGTTTTTATTTTTTGGAACAAATCATGCAAACTGTTAATCAAGCACTGTTGAGGGTTTGTCCAGGGTTGTTGGTGGAGAAGCACATTTTGAGTCCGTTCGAACTCAAGAAACACTCGGGAGCTCCGTTTTGTTACCAGCCGGACGTTATCACCGCTGCTATGTTGGAAGCGGAGTCGACTCTTGACATAGCTCTGTACAATCCAAACATCGACGGTCAAGAAACGATCGTCCAGATGATCATGTTCGGTAAGTGTTGGGTGCGACGAGGCGATTGGTCACAGTTCTTTCCTAGATGAGATGGAGTTGGCTGGAAATATCCACTGGGGTTGCGCTTTACGAATCCAAGATCTTTCATCTCCCGTCAAACTCAAACTCTGCGGTTTATTGGACCCTCCGGAACCTCACGGACGCGATTGGTGTCTTCTAGCCCTCCGATTGGGTCTCTGCCAAGACAAAATAGCAGCTCTGGACTCCCAACATTCCAGCCACACCATGCGTCTACTCACAACCGCCGATTGTTCTATAGGTAATAGTAGTACCTTTTTAGTTTAGACAGTCACTTAAGTCTTTCGCAGGTGCTCTTATAACCAGTTTGCATGAGCTAGACCGACTCGATGCAGCAGAAGTCGTCCTCCGTTCCGCACCCATATTTAAAATCATAGAGCATGTCAGTGTTTAGACATTAGACATTTTTTATAACTATTCTAAAGCTCAAGTCCCGGTTCTTTGATACTTGAATTTTTAAAAAGTCCAATCAAAAAATTTCTATTAGTTAGATGCTTCTACCGTCCTTTTTCTATCCACTAACCCTTTCTTTAGATTAACACACAACGAAATAGACAAGATTTTAGTTAACTTAATCTGCTATTACAGGGTTTATTTCAGTATTAAGGAGAGATTGTGATATTCATGCTCAGTTGTGGAAAATATTTTATTGTAATGTTTTAAATAAATGTCAAAGTTAGTCCGCTTTTTTTTCACACGTTGGTTTCCCTCAAATGCCGGAAACGTTCCTGCCGGTAAAGATACTCCTTCGCCATGTTGTACGCCTTAAACATTCTTCTGCTCTTGACCAGAGTCGAATATCGTGGGCCCCAATCAGCTGCCGGTTTGAAAACTGGCAAGTTCTTCCCCAAAACGACCAAGACCAAGTAGACAAAAAAATAAAACACAACAGCCACAAGAATAAACCAAAGAAAAAAAATTTCGAGACTACGCATCCACGGAAATTTCACGTCGACCTTGTGTGTGTAGAAGTTGTACACGTTGTAGATTAGTAGTGACCCTAGAAGCAAAGGGTTAAGAATGTAGAGAGCGTTCGAGTAAGCCGAAAATCGTATTCCGATCATGAAGTGAACATCGTCTCTGAATTTTCGCAACCCGTAGAAGCATACCACTGCGACCAAATTAAAAGTGTTTAGAATAATGAAAATGAACTCGTTCATGATTTTGTCGATGGTTTTGACCACGAAGTACCCGATTCTAGTGGCGAAAAAAATCCCTCCGCTGTAGAATAGCAAACAGAAAAGGAAAACGCAAAAGTTGTGACGTTTTCTTATGTTTGGTATGGAGCTATAGATGACTTCTGTGTTGACGGACATCATCACTATCAGAGTACGTAAACCTGGAATTAAAACGGTCAGTAGTTGATTTAAAATTTGTATGGTTAGTACCGAGCATGTAAGAGTTCGACAGCCACATGACCATCCAGTAACGCGGACTATGTTCTAAGAAAAATGCAGCATCAGGCATTGATAGTTCTTGCTCCAAACTAAGAAAGTCTTCACTCAGCATTTTACTGTGTAGACAAAGCGACACGAGGAAGTTCTGTAACGTGATAGTGTAAACAATGGTGAATAAAGAAGTCAACAGACTTATGACGACAATTTTCAGATGAATGGGGCTTCGGAAAGAAGAATGTGTTCCTAGAGTAATGTAAGCCCCAAACCCTAAACCAGATGTACTTAACGACAGTTCTATAATCGTAGACCAAACTTTGATATCTTTGAGCTGTCTTGTATCAAAGTGTTTGAACAAATAGTTCAATGTTAATGAAACATTGCTCTTCGTGAGAGGTGTGAAAAACAAAATCATTAACTGGATGATTGGAATTATTGCTAAAACAATCAAGAAATTTTCAGTTGATTTCGGTCCCCCATAATTTGCAAAAAATAGCAAAATTATCGTTACTAATGCAAAAATGAGAAGTTCTTGTTGCGGGGTACCTAAAACTTGACTTAGAACGATTGTAAACTCAGTACAGTGGTTTTACCAACGTAACCATCGTCATCAATGTTCAGTATTCGGTAGAAATAAAACTGTTCTATACTTGACTGCCACTGCATTTTGTCACACTTGTCTCTGTTATACTTCTGACTGCACTCGAATCTTCTAGTGTAATTATCACGCAAAGTGTAGCAATTGATTTTATTCCAAGTCCCATTGCACGACTTCCATTGTTGTTGGTTACTCGTCAAAGACAAAAACGCAAAAGATAGGGTACAAGTACAGAGATAAAAGTAGTAAGTTTGGTATAGTATGAACGTGGCAAAGCTACATATCCCGATTCCTTTAAGAACTGGACACATATTCCACACATTGAGTGCCGCTTTGTTGGAATATTGTCCCAAAGCCAGTTCCATAAACAAGCAAGGAATCGTGATAATAAACATGACTAGTAGCTGAACTGGCACCAAAAGAAGTAACCCAATTTTAGTTCTCAGAAGAAGTGGACTTGCCAGTCTTGGGATGGTTAACCCAGTGGAGTAACTCAGCATGGCTAGGTTTAGTTTGAAATTGGAACTCCATGTGGAGCTAGTTTCGATTATAGGGGCCATAGTCACATTTCAAGCGACAACATTGTCAAAACTGACTTTCTAATTTCAGTGTTAGTGTATTGTTGGTTGCATGCACACCACGTACGCACGTGCTCAGTGACTGTCAGTACAGTAGTGATTCTAATTTATTTTAATGTTGTAACGACTATAGTTATTAAAATGTTGCAAGAACCGACGCTTTCCAATTTAACCAAAGGCAACTTCGGCGAGCCAGCTTCAGAGCCAAACCCGGTAAGCCCCCAAACACGTGTTTTTTTAGGTTATGTTATTGAATTTCTAACCACACTATTTTTAAATAAATTTTAAGCTGTTGCAACAATTAGGCCTGCCCCATGTCACCAGTTTCAACTACATGATTAACAAAGGTTTAGACCAAGCAATCGCCAATTTAAACCCCATCGAATTTACCCTCAACGGCGACAAAATCAAACTTTCCATAGTGGATGGTAGTTTGAGCTGTCCGTTGGCCCCTCTGGGCACCGTTGGGGTCAAAACCATGAAAATTTTTCCGTCCGAGTGTCGACAAAAGGCTGCCACTTACAAAGGGCGCTTTTTGGCTAGAGTGCATTGGGCGATAAATGGGGTGCCGCAGTCACCCTTTGATAAAGATATGGGAGAGTTGCCCATCATGGTTAAAGTAAGTTTCAGTGATTTTCAGTTGAATTTTACTATAATAAGGAGGGTTTTAGTCCAATAAGTGTCACTTGAATGTGATGAACCCTAAAGAGTTGGTTAAACACGGCGAGCACGAGGACGAATGGGGGGGCTACTTTATAGTCAAAGGTCACGAAAGACTAGTCCGAATGTTGTTGATGACGCGCCGAAATTACCCCATCGCTATTCGTAGAGGGGGTTGGAAGATGAGAGGGTCGTTGTTTTCTGATTGTGGGGTGACAATCAGGTGTGTGAAAGAAGACCAAACAGCTACGGTAATTTTTAATTTCGTGTCTATTAAGTTGGCACTTGTTAATTTTGTCGTTCTAGAATAACGTTTTACACTTCGTGACCGACGGAAGCGCGAAATTGATGTTCAGTTATAGGAAAAACCTGTATTATACGCCTTTAGTTCTAATTATGAAGTGTCTGTGTGACTACTGTGACCAATTTATTTATCAGAAACTGATTCAGGGCTACCAACACGACTCCTACTACGTTGAGTAAGTATTTTTTTGTAATCAGTCGCCAACAATTAAATTTAGTTGTGTTCAAAACATGCTACGTCTGCTCCACGTCGAGAATCTTCACACCCACGACGACTGCAAATCCTACTTAGGCAAAATGTTCCGGATCAAGTTCACCGAGTGTCCCGAGTGGTACACCGACACAGAAATCGCCGATTTCATCCTCAAAAAATGCGTCCTAATCCACCTAAACAAACCAGAAGACAAATTCAACATGTTGGTATTCATGACACAAAAGCTATTCGTTTTTGCGCAGGATCGTTGCAAAGCGGAGGGCGCTGATGCCGTCATGATGCAAGAACTCCTCCTAGGAGGCCACTTATACCAACAAATCCTTAAAGAAAAACTCCAGAACTGGCTAATCGGGTTAAAATACAATATAATGAAACGTAATAGCAACGGGAGTCTCACTCAAAGCGAGATCCTCCAAGCCGCTAAACGTTCGGGAGGGTTAGAACACGCCTTCGGGAATTTTCTAGCCACGGGAAATTTAAACAGCACGTCGGGACTAGGTCTAATGCAAGACAAAGGGTTAACAATAGTCGCGGAAAATATAAATCGTATGCGCTACATGTCGCATTTCAAGGCGGTTCACCGGGGGGCTTTTTTCCAAGAGATGCGAACGACTGAGGTTAGACAGTTGTTGCCGGACGCTTGGGGGTTCATTTGTCCCGTGCATACCCCCGACGGGAGTCCGTGCGGGCTTTTGAACCACCTCACCACGAACTGCTCTGTCACGGACATCCCCGATTCCAAAAAAGTCGACAATGTACCCTTAATTCTGACGAAATTGGGTATGGTTGCCGTTAAAAATGTCACCGGTGGGCAGAACTATGTCGTGGTTCTTGACGGACGGGTTCTTGGTTACGTCAAGAAGGATTTGGCACCGAAATTAGTGGAGCAGTTGCGCTTGTATAAAATTAAAGGTGAAGAGGTACCAAACACTTTGGAGATTGTTTTGGTCCCGATTTTGAAAGTTAGTGGTCAATTCCCGGGGTTGTTTTTGTTTACGGGACCCGCGCGGATGATGAGGCCTGTGATGAACCTGGCTTTGAAGGAGGTGGAGTTCGTGGGGACGTTCGAACAGGTTTATATGGATATTTGTGTGTCGGGGGATGAATTTTATAAGGGTGAGTAGTGAGGTTTTGGGAAATTGGTGAACTGAAACCCGTCTTTCAGGAGTTACTACCCATATGGAACTGTCTAAACTGACGTTCCTGTCGAATTTGGCCCAACTTATTCCGATGCCGGATTGTAATCAGTCACCGCGTAACATGTACCAGTGTCAAATGGGTAAACAAACCATGGGTACTCCGTGTTTGAACTGGCCGCTACAATCAGAAACCAAGCTCTATAGGTTACAAACCCCAGGATCGCCGCTTTTTCGCCCGGTGCACTACGACAACATCAAACTTGATGACTTCGCCATGGGTACTAACGCAATAGTGGCGGTTATTAGTTACACGGTAAAACCTATTAGTGATTAGTTAACCCATCTAACCCACAAGTTCCAGGGCTACGATATGGAGGACGCTATGATTATAAATAAAGCCGCCGACGAACGAGGATTCGCCCACGGTTCGATTTTTAAAACCGAATTCGCGATGTTGGAACACTCGTCGTCGTACTTCTGTCGAGACCCGGAAAAACCCACCTTGGTGGAATTTCTGGACACCGATGGGTTACCCTTCATCGGGAGACGAATGAAGGACGGAGAACCCTTTTATTGTTACTACAGCGTAGACGAATCCCAATACAAAGTAGTCAAGTTTCACGGCAAAGAAGAGTGTTTTGTGGACAGCGTGAAGATGTGCTCTAGTTTCGAAACGTCGAATCGGACAGCGTGCGTCACTTTCAGGATTCCCGTAAGTATAGTACGTGTGACTAGAAAAAGTAGGCGGCAAACAAAATCATAATTGTAGCGAAACCCATCTGTCGGTGATAAATTCGCTAGTCGCGCTGGTCAAAAAGGCATTTGTTCGCAAAAGTGGCCCATGGAAGATCTACCCTTCACCGAAACCGGGTTAGTTCCGGACATCGTTTTCAACCCTCATGGGTTTCCGTCGCGGATGACCATCGCTATGATGATCGAAGTGATGGCTGGAAAATCAGCCGCTTTGCACGGATTGGTCCATGACGCTACCCCGTTTAAATTCACTGAAGATGACACAGCGATTGACTATTTCGGGAAACTGTTGGAGGCTGGAGGGTACAACTACTACGGGACGGAGACCATGTATTCAGGGATCGACGGGCGAGAATTGACTGCACAAATCTTCTTCGGTATAGTTCACTATCAGAGGTTGCGGCACATGGTTTCAGATAAGTGGCAGGTGCGTTCCACTGGTCCTAACGACATTCTAACCCGCCAACCCCTGAAAGGGAGAAAGCGAGGAGGGGGTGTTCGTTTCGGGGAGATGGAGCGTGATTCGTTGATCAGTCACGGGGCGTCGTTTTTGCTCCAGGATAGGTTGTTACATTGTTCAGATAAATCAAGTGTATGTTTTGTAACGTTTGTCATACAAGTGTTGACTCTAGTTTGTTACAGGCTTTTATTTGTACGTCGTGCGGCACATTGTTGGGTCCCGTTACCATAGTAACAAGAGTCGCCGAAAAGCCGAGTTGGTCCAGTTACAAAGATATTTGTAGGTTATGTGGCCACGGCAAAAACGTGTCCGAGATTCAAATTCCTTACATTTTTAAGTTTTTTGTGACGCAGATGGCGTCGTGTAATATAAACGTCAAAATTGTGACGCGCCAGGTGTGACGCTAGCGCCACGCCAACAAATATACAACTTCACTCTAGTTGGTTTTAATAATTTGAAAAACCCAAAACGACTGAAATAATTTATTTCTTAACATAGTGGTAACGTGAAACAGATAAAACAATCACAAATCAAATAAGTTACCTATGGATTACTGTACAACGTTACAATGAAGATGGTTAATTGAATAATTTAAGGAAAATTGGCTAGTTTGTACAAGTACTTTGTCTCATTGCGTACACGTGATGAAAACCGTACTCCGACAAATTACTACTAATACGATTGGTTAAAATAAAAATTACGACGATCGACGAATGTTTCAAACATTAAAAACCCTAGTCGTAATTTCTACTTTAGGTGCGCGGTGACGGTCTACTTCGTCGCTTGTTCCAAGTAAGCGATGAGATCTGCCCGTTCTTGTGGTTTCTTCAAGCCGGCGAAGATCATCTTCGTGCCGGGGATGTACTTTTTGGGGTTTTCGAGGTACTCAAAAAGAGTGTCTTTGTTCCATGTAATACCTGAAAAAAAAACAGTTTTGACAACTTTGACATTTTGGGGGTGAAGTTCCGCCAACACAATTTCAGTCAAGTGGTACTAGAATTACGTCAGTGTGATAAAAACGTCATGCTTATCACTGAGTAACGAAAGTGATGTTTTTATAATCTCATTAACACGAATTAGCGTAATTTGAATTACAGTTAAGAGAGTAATGTTGTTAATTTGCCGACAAAGGAAATTTAACACACGTTTCAAGGTTGCCAACCTGTCCAAAAATTAATTAAAAGTTTAGTGTTACTAGTATAACTGGTTCTTTTTTATTGTCACGTTTTATAAAGACAATGGGTTGGTAACGCCAAACGTCAAATTAGAAAAATGGCCGTCGCGCCACAATTAAAACCCGGCAAAATTTACACCAAAACCGACAAGGGGGTGAGTTTTACCCTTACATTTTACTACTTTTATTAAAAAAGGGCGCTTTTGTTGTACAGAGAGCCCCAATGGGTGCCACTTTACCTTTCGATTTGTTCGCATCGGTGTACGCAAACCCTGCCGCCTGCCCCGTTTTCCTGCCAATCAGCCCGTGCAAATTCGGTCCGGTCTTGTGTTTGCCCCCAGCTTCCACAGTGTGGCACTGGGCACACCTCTGTACGAACAATTTCTTTCCTTTCTCGGCATCACCAGCTGGTACCCCCATGGTTGTCTCTTCACTGAACCACTAAGCTGCAATCACACACGCCAATTAATTTAAATGCAGTGATCATGTGATACTGATGTAACAAGATAGCGCAATCGTGTCCACGTGTTGGGTACTAGAGGTTAGGCAAATTCCATGTTGGACTTTGGGTTAACGGTGACGTCATGCACGTGATTCACGGAGTCTGGTAAAAATTGGGGGATCTCTGTGATAAGAAAGTCATGAAGGATGTGTTAAGGGTGGAAGGAATTGAGGTTAGGGGAGACTAGGGCCGAGTGGCAACGGGGTTATGTAACCGCCGATTTGTAGGTTAAGGTTAGGTGTGCAAGAGCGAAAAAATGGGGGCTTTGACACGTAATTGTGGGTTTTTTGCGGCACGAGATGGATTGTGCTGGATAAAATTGGATTTGGGGTGTTATGTAACCAATGGGTGAATTTTATGGGGGATTTTTGCGGGACGTGGGGGTGCAATGCAGTGATTATTTTATAATCGTGGTTTGGATGGATGTATTAGTTTGAAAAATGATAATTTCGGGAAAAATTACGAACCTAGAGATCCTCTATACTTTCCGCCTTCGCGTTCGGACCTTCACTGATCGATTATTTTCGCCAAGTCCCGTACAAGGTGACTCTAGCAAGTGGCGATGTGGGTTTAGCGTCTGGTGGATAGAGGGCACGCCGCGCTAAGTTCAAATTTTCAGACTTAATTATATAACCCCAAATCGACCAGTTTCAAACATAATAATTGACACAATAAATGTATAAAAACGAATTCGTTATCATAAAAAATTTGTTCTATCTGGGTTCGTTTTGCTGGTTGCCGACACTAAAAATCCAATCATTTTTTGTCAAATTTTGCTTTCAAATGTCCACAACTCGACAGCACTATTTTTTAATTTAAAATTCACGTATTCTTATCTACATACTTTTTGTTTAAATTTATACCATGTTTATTTCAAATGAATTTCATAAATAAACAACGAGATAAATACCAGAGAACATAGAGAAGCGTCATAGTTTAAATTAAATGACGGTTGAGGACTCCTCGACTTATGTTGGCAACAGTGTTTGTTTCTAACTAGGAATAAAATTAACTACAATAGAAAAAATGTCATAATATTTTTAACGACGCGTTTTACTTTCGACAAATTGACGCTAGATTTACCAGAATATTACAAGCTGATTACTGTTTCCTTCATTTTAATTCAGGTCACACGGATTACAGTTCGTCGTCTGAAAACTTGTTTGATCTACAGACCAGAGTGCACTCAGGCTAATGTCGACTCTAAGCGTTCGGAAACGATTCGATTTATAAGTCATGATCCGTGATCTGATACACATCCTAACTTCTTGCTGTCTCAACTTTCCAATTTTTAGTTTTTCGAAAGTTTAGTTTGGGGACTTTTCGGTTTACTCCTATTTATTATTCAATTTTTGGATTTTACTATTTCTCAATTTTTCAATTTCTCGATTTCCAGTTTTTCGCTGCAATTTTACGATTTTTAAATATTTCGATTTTTCAATTGATTCATTTTTCGGTTTTTTGGTTTTTCAATTTTTCTATTTTTTCAGGTTTCGATTTTTCGACTTCACTTTGTTGATTTTTCGATTTTTTAATTTCTCAGTTTTTGGACATTTCAGTTTTGGGATTTTTCACTTAACTTTTTATTCAATTTTTCGATCTTACGATTTTGCAGGTTTTTGATTATTCAATTTTTTGATTTTTTTAAGGTTTCGATATTTCGACTTCACTTTTTTGATTTTTCGATTTCTCAATTTTTCGTTTCTTTAGATCTCAGTTTTTGGATATTTCCAGTTTTGGGATTTTTCAGTTTTTCTTTCATTTTTCAGTTTTGGGATTTTTCAATATTTCTGTTCTTCGACGTTTCCATTTTTGATTTCTGGATTTTCCGATGTGTTGACTTGTTACTTTTTCGATTTTTTAATTTTAGATCGCTCAATTTTTTAGTATTTTAATTTTTCAATATTAAAAATTTTAGATTTTTCGATTTCTCGATTTTTCATTTCAGCTCTTCCATATTTCAATTTTTCAAATGTTTCGATTTTTCGACTTCCCGGTTTTAGATTTTCTGTTTTTCAATTGTCGTTTTTTCAATTTTTCAATATTTAAAATTTTAGATTTTTCGATTTCTCGATTTTTCATTTCAGTTCTTCGATATTTCCGTTTTCCATGTTTTCGAATTTTTCAAATGTTTTGATTTCTTAATCTATCGATTTTTCGACTTCCCGGTTTTAGATTTTCTGTTTTTCAATTGTCGTTTTTTCAATTTTTCGATTTTACAATTAATCGATGTTTTGATTTTCCCATTTCTGGAGTTTCGAGGGTTTCGATATTCCTTCCTGTTTTTCAATTCTTTAATATCTCGATTTTTCATTTTTTAGTTTTTTTAAGGTTTCGATTTTTCGACTTCACTTTTTGGATTTTTCGATTGCTCAATTTTTCGACTTTTTAGGTTCTCAGTTTTTGGATGTTTCAGTTTTCGGATTTTTCAGGTTATTAGATTCTCAGTTTATCTTTCATTTTTCAATACATATTTCGATTCATGGACTTGTCGATTTTTGACTCCTGGATTTTTCGATGTGTCGATTATTTTCCTTTTTAGATTTTTCAATTTTTCGATTTTAAATTTTAGATTATTTAATTTTTAAAATTTTAGATTTTTCCATTTTTCAGTTCAGTTCTCCGATATTTGAATTTTTCAAGTTTTCGAATTTTTCAATTAATCGATGTTTTGATTTTCCCATTTCTTGACCTTCGAGTGTTTCGATTTTCCTGTTCTTCAATTCTTTAATTTTTCGATATTTCAGTTTTGGGATTTTTCAATATTTCTGTTCTTCGACTTTTCCATTTTTGATTTCTGGATTTTCCGATGTGTTGTCTTGTTACTTTTTCGATTTTTTAATTTTAGATCGCTCAATTTTTTAGTATTTTAATTTTTCAATGTTAAAAATTTTAGATTTTTCGATTTCTCGATTTTTCATTTCAGCTCTTCCATATTTCAATTTTTCAAATGTTTCGATTTTTCGACTTCCCGGTTTTAGATTTTCTGTTTTTCAATTGTCGTTTTTTCAATTTTTCGATTTTTAAATTTTAGATTTTTCAGTTTTTTGGTATTTTAATTTTTCAATATTTAAAATTTTAGATTTTTCGATTTCTCGATTTTTCATTTCAGTTCTTCGATATTTCCATTTTCCATGTTTTCGAATTTTTCAAATGTTTTGATTTCTTAATCTATCGATTTTTCGACTTCCCTGTTTTAGATTTTCTGTTTTTCAATTGTCGTTTTTTCAAATTTTCGATTTTTCAATTTTTCAAATTTGGCATTTATAAACTGTCAATTTTTCGATTTTACAATTAATCGATGTTTTGATTTTCCCATTTCTGGAGTTTCGAGGGTTTCGATATTCCTTCCTGTTTTTCAATTCTTTAATATCTCGATTTTTCATTTTTTAGTTTTTTTAAGGTTTCGATTTTTCGACTTCACTTTTTGGACTTTTCGATTGCTCAATTTTTCGACTTTTAGGTTCTCAGTTTTTGGATATTTCAGTTTTCGGATTTTTCAGGTTATTAGATTCTCATTTTATCTTTCATTTTTCAATACATATGTCGATTCATGGACTTGTCGATTTTTGACTCCTGGATTTTTCGATGTGTCGATTATTTTCCTTTTTAGATTTTTCAATTTTTCGATTTTAAATTTCAGATTATTTAATTTTTAAAATTTTAGATTTTTCCATTTTTCAGTTCAGTTCTCCGATATTTGAATTTTTCAAGTTTTCGAATTTTTCAATTAATCGATGTTTTGATTTTCCCATTTCTTGACCTTCGGGTGTTTCGATTTTCCTGTTCTTCAATTCTTTAAGTTTTTGATTTTTCGGGTTTTCGATTTTTCAGTTTTTCGATTTTTTAAGGTTTTTATTTTTCGACTTCACTTTTTTGATTTTTCGATTTTTCAGTTTCTAAAAATTTCAGTTTTAGGATTTTTCAATATTTCAATTCTTCGGCTCTTGTATTTTTGACTTCTGGATTTTTCGGTTTTTGGATTTTTAAATTTTAGAGTTTTCAATCTTTTGATATTTTAATTTTTCAATATTTCTTAATCTTTCGATTTTTCGACTTCCTGGATTTAGATGTTCTGTTTTTCAATTTTTCGATTTGTTAAATTTTCGGTTTCTCAATTTTTCCAATTAGATTCTCAGTTTATCTTTCATTTTTCAATACATATTTCGATTCATGGACTTGTCGATTTTTGACTCCTGGATTTTTCGATGTGTCGATTATTTTACTTTTTAGATTTTTCAATTTTTCGATTTTAAATTTCAGATTATTTAATTTTTAAAATTTTAGATTTTTCCATTTTTCAGTTCAGTTCTCCGATATTTGAATTTTTCAAGTTTCCGAATTTTTCAATTAATCGATGTTTTGATTTTCCCATTTCTTGACCTTCGAGTATTTCGATTTTCCTGTTCTTCAATTCTTTAATTTTTCGATATTTCAGTTTTGGGATTTTTCAATATTTCTGTTCTTCGACTTTTCCATTTTTGATTTCTGGATTTTCCGATGTGTTGACTTGTTACTTTTTCGATTTTTTAATTTTAGATCGCTCAATTTTTTAGTATTTTAATTTTTCAATATTAAAAATTTTAGATTTTTCGATTTCTCGATTTTTCATTTCAGCTCTTCCATATTTCAATTTTTCAAATGTTTCGATTTTTCGACTTCCCGGTTTTAGATTTTCTGTTTTTCAATTGTCGTTTTTTCAATTTTTCGATTTTTAAATTTTGGATTTTTCAGTTGTTTGATATTTTAATTTTTCAATATTTAAAATTTTAGATTTTTCGATTTCTCGATTTTTCATTTCAGTTCTTTGATATTTCCGTTTTCCATGTTTTCGAATTTTTCAAATGTTTTGATTTCTTAATCTATCGATTTTTCGACTTCCCTGTTTTAGATTTTCTGTTTTTCAATTGTCGTTTTTTCAAATTTTCGATTTTTCAATTTTTCAAATTTGGCATTTATAAACTGTCAATTTTTCGATTTTACAATTAATCGATGTTTTGATTTTCCCATTTCTGGAGTTTCGAGGGTTTCGATATTCCTTCCTGTTCTTCAATTCTTTAATATTTCGATTTTTCATTTTTTAGTTTTTTTAAGGTTTCGATTTTTCGACTTCACTTTTTGGATTTTTCGATTGCTCAATTTTTCGACTTTTTAGGTTCTCAGTTTTTGGATATTTCAGTTTTCGGATTTTTCAGGTTATTAGATTCTCAGTTTATCTTTCATTTTTCAATACATATTTCGATTCATGGACTTGTCGATTTTTGACCCCTGGATTTTTCGATGTGTCGATTATTTTACTTTTTAGATTTTTCAATTTTTCGATTTTAAATTTCAGATTATTTAATTTTTAAAATTTTAGATTTTTCCATTTTTCAGTTCAGTTCTCCGATATTTGAATTTTTCAAGTTTTCGAATTTTTCAATTAATCGATGTTTTGATTTTCCCATTTCTTGACCTTCGAGTGTTTCGATTTTCCTGTTCTTCAATTCTTTAATTTTTCGATATTTCAGTTTTGGGATTTTTCAATATTTCTGTTCTTCGACTTTTCCATTTTTGATTTCTGGATTTTCCG